ATAAGTGAGTGGGGCTCAGATAGGTGGAGTTACTCAGCTCAAGCCTCAAGGCTGGTGAACAGCTGATTAGGTAGAACCAGCCTGTTTCCCTCCCTGAGGAAGCTGCTGCTGCCTCCATCTATATTCAGTGTACACCCTGAATGGTGCTCCTAGGCCAGCCATCTGCCACATCCCCCCTGCTCTGATGACAGGCTCCACAGGCCTTGCTGGGCCCAGCAGGAGTGCAGGTCAGGAAGCATCTGTGTATAGTCAGTGAATGATCTCCTCTCCTCTGGCCACATGTGTACCACCCTTCTCACTCTCAACAGGTGACCAAGGAAACACAAACCACCAGAGTTCTCCACTCACCTTTACCTGTGCCCTCACCTGTATCTGTGCTCACCACTTTGCCTTCCCAAGAACTGTCCATGCCCCCAGCTGATGGTACCTGTCACACGGGCAGGCCCTGCCCCTGCTGCCTCCTCCAGGTTATCAGCTCTTTTGCATCACTGGTGTTTTGGTCTATCCATGCTGTGCACACACAAGCATGCCAGGCACACACATGGCTGTGTATGCTGCATGCTACCCATGCACACAATGCATTGTTGCCCTTGTGGGTGTGTTCACATGCACACATGTTATTCCATAATTTAATACTTTTTTTTTTCTGCAGTTTTTGGCTGGGGCTGGATTTGAACCCACCACCTCCAGCATATGGGGCCAGCGCCCTACTCCTTTGAGCCACAGGCGCTACCCCATGATTTCATTCTTTAACCCCACTTGCCCTCCATCTCCCACTCCTTCCTCTACTCCTGTCACAACTCTCTCTTCCCTCTCCCTACACATTCCTAAACTTTTCTCTCCAAACAGACTTCACCCTACTCTCCATGACCTTTCATAAAGGGCATTGTGGCCTCTATGTTGCCAAATCTGCATCTATCCCCGTTGACTGCTCCCTTATCCTTGGGACATTGTGGCTTGCAGGAACCTTGTGCCTTTTTGACCTCAGAGGTCCTTACCTACCTCCTTTGTTAGACGCCTGTTTCTGACCTTGAGTCTTTGCTTATCTTTCCCCCTGGTGTCTCAGGCTTAAAGCATCTCCTTAATATCCATGACCCCAGCTGCCTGCCACAGGTTGGGGCTTCTCCTGGACCGCAACTGCCACAGACTCTTGTGGGCTCTCCTCCCAACCCCTGTACTTCAGCTTTCCCAGACACCTGGGAGAAATCCCAGATTCTCCTCACATTCACACCCCAATGGGCACAGGGTGCCCCATGCTGCCCCTGGGCCCTTGTCCCAAGGAAGTGGGAGTGGTCAGCTGGGACAAATATGGATTTGGCCACTGTCAGGATTTCCCCTACCCCTTGCGGTTCTTTTTAGTAGCCAGAGGGAGCCTGAAGAAACCTAAGGCAATCACACAGTTTCTCGGCTGAGAGCTTACTGGCTCCCCTGGCCACCCTCTGTACCTGAAGCCCCCCCATCTTTCTGAGCTCATGGGCTGTGTTCCCTACCTGGACACACACAGACTCCTGTCTTGGTGGGAAAAGCTCCTCCAGCATGAAGGCTGGAGGGAGGAAGGTATGCTTTGGTCCCACAGAAGCATAACACAGTCCAAGGTCAAATCCCATTCCAAGGTAGCAAGACCCTCTATCCCCCCTCTTCTAGGTGTCTCTGGAAGTTGTGCTCTACCCACTCCTCCTTCTCAAGGATCCTGCCCCTTCATAGCTGTTCACACTGTCTGCTGGGCTGTCTGGGAAGCCTATGAACCTGCAGTGGAGGAGCATGCCCAGCCCCAGCACTGCTGCCCCCAACCTTCCCAGGTACAGACCCTGCCACTGCCTCCTGGAGGCGTGGGCGGGGATGTGCACAGCAGCACTGGGAGGTCACTCATGCCTGGACTAGGGGACAGCTTTCACCAATAAGAGACTCTGCAGTAGAGACATGACTGTGACTTGAAGGGCAGGTATCCCTAAGGATGAAGCTAAAAGTGACATTGGGAGAAAAAAGGCAAGTCTGTCTGGCACCACAATGGAGAGTGTTACAATGTCAGGCATCACTGCCACTCCAGCAAAGACACACATAGGCTGGAGGACAGCACACAGAACTTCAGGTTCACCCCGGTGTTATTTTTAAACTGGGTCATGGCTCCTAAGCATTCATTATTATTTTCGTATGTAAGCCTGAAATAACTCACTTAACTAAATAACTCCCAAACCCCTTCTTTCCTCACCTGCTTGTCCCTAGGAGAAAATCCAAGCTCCTCACTGACCATTAGAGGCCCAGTGGGACCTGACCCTACCCCTGACCTCTGCAGCCTCTCTCTGCCATGCTCCTGACCTCTGCTCCAGCTGTGGCCTCTGCCAGAAATGCCTCTCCCCTTTTCCCTTACCCCTGATCTTTCTGGCTAAGTCTGTGTCACCAGGCAGCTTCTAAGAGTGGAGAAACAGGATCAGACTTAACTTTTAGAAAGAGGACTCTGGGATCCTCAGCGAGGAAGGCAAGTGAGGAGGAGAGAAGGAAGGCACCTGCTCTAAGGCCGCATGTCCTTGCATCTACAGGAACCTTTCACTTTTAGCCCAGTGGTAGCCATGGAGAGGGCTGGGTCTCAGCTCCACCCCTCAGAATCAAATGGGGGAAGGATGTGGGAGCCATAGGGAGCCCCCAGGATCTTTGCTTCCCCACCAGAATACTCAGAGATGTCCAGAACAGGCAAGTTGGGTGAAACCGGAGGGAAAACTGAAGCCTAGAGAGGGGAGGAAAGCTGGGGTAAAGAAGGACTCTGAAATCAGAAGCACTCTGATTTCAAGCCTAGTGCCCTCTTGTATCCCTGAGCCCTGGCTGATGAGGTTCCATGGACCTTCTGAGAGGGACAGTATAGTTTACAAGGTCTCATGCAATGAGGGACCACTAGGGCAGGGCTGTTTTTGTTTGTTTTGCCTTAGTGCGCTCCTGGAAGGTACATGTATGGAAAGATGTATGTGAATGCCTGCTTGTCTTGAGGTGCCAGCTCTGTCCCCAGTCTGGGACTCAGAGCTTTGTTTGCCTCCTAGGATAGCCCACCCAGCCTCTCAGGGCACAGTTCTGCACGACAACCAGCTTGTGTGTGCATGTGCGTGTCTGGGAGTGGGTGGTCATGGGGCTGGGGTAGGGGCCTGCCTAGGTCAGGTCAGAAGGCTCTGTCTGACCCAGACAGAGCCCCCAATTCTAACCCTAATTGGCTGAGGGTAGGAGGGCATAGAGGAGCCAGGACAGGGCTGAGTATGCAGAAGTGTGTCCCCTGGGTCAGGCCCCCTCCCACCTAGGCAGAGGCAGGGGGCTGGGTGAGATGATCTTGGAAGGTGGAGCCAGCAACATTAGGGGATGGGAGGTGGGGAAGGGAACCAGAAAGAGCCTCCACATGGAATGTGGGGAGTTTCACCACAGAGACCATAGCTGCCCTGTCTCAGAGAATGAGGGTGAGGGGGGCTCCAGGTAAAAGGGCCCATCTAAGGGGATGGGTGAGGCCTTGGCTGAGCAGTCATTGCCTCTCTCTGGCTATTAATGTCAACATCTATAAAATAGACCTGGAACTCCCAGCCACTGGGGTATGAGTGCATAAATTAGTGTTCTGGGAATGGACACCAGACAGACTGATCCTAGGTTCCTGAGCCCCCAGGTAATGACCCCAAACCCTGGACTCCTTATGAGGGGTCTGAGTTGAGGAGCTCCAATTCACCACAAATGTCTGTAGAATAGCAGGGGGAGGCCCTGGCTTCCTTCCTAGTAACTCCTCACGTGGAGCCATTCCCTCCATCCTTCCCAGTGCTGATTTCCTGTCAGATGAACTGGGGTCATAATTCCCACTGCTAGTGGTGGTTGTGAAAATGAAGTAAATCAGGTGTGTTGAGACAGAGACGGGCAAAGTGGGCATGCATAAATAGCTATTTTAGACTGCGAGGTGGCCCGCATTTATAATCCCAGGGCTTTGGGAGGTCAGTTTAGGAAGATCACTTGAAGCCAGGAGTTGGAGACCAGCCTGGGCAACACAGCTAGACTCCTCTCTAAACAAACAAACAAAAAACAATTTAACCAGATGCACTCGCCTGTACTTCCCAAGTCCCAAATATTTGGGAGGCTGTGGCAGGAGGATTGCTTGAGCCCGTAAGTTTGAGGGTTTGTGAGCTATGATGATGCCACTGCACTCCAGTCTCAAACAGAGCAACAGAAGGAAACATCGTCTCGGAAAAAAAAAAAAGAAAGAAAAGAAAAGAAAAAAAATAGCTGTCCTCATCCCTCCCTCCCTCCATCTCCTGGAAGGGTCAGCTTGAAGCAGAGGCTCGCCTTGCCAAGATCCTGCCCCGTCAGAACGCCGAGGGGGCCCTTAGGAGTTAACAGCTCCTACCTCTAGACAGAGGTTCCACATATAGATTGGAAAACAGGCCTGAGCAGGTTTTTCCCAAGGTCACGGAAGGTCAGGGAAGAGGGGACATGGCAACGAATTAAATACTGTATGGCCAGTTAAGTTATGCACCGCGGAAACCAGGGTTCCTACGCCCGCGCAACCAGACTTTTCCTGAGCTGCGGTATCGCAAGCTCAGGCCCAAACGCCCCCCACCAACCCCAATCCCCGGCCTGGGCCTCCTGAAACCCAGAGCTCAGAGCCCGGAGTCTCGGCTCGGGTTCTGGGAGCCCTTCCCCGCCTCCTCCAGACTCGCCCCGCCCCCGTCGCGGCCCCGCCCCTCTTTTCCGGTTCCCCACTCCCCTGGCCCCCGGCGTTCGCTCAAGTTTCTCCGAAGTTTTCCGCAGGTCCAGCTGTGCGCCCCGCCTGCCGGCCGATGACGTAACAATGGTGCAGCGCGGCGACCAATGGACGGTGGGGGGGGCCGGCGGCGCGGGCCAATGGCTGCCGCGGACCGTCCCGCGGTCCTGCCCGGCCGGGGCCGCACTGCGCCGCCCGCCGGCCGCCGCCAGCCGCCGGCCCCGGTACAGCCGCTCAGCAATCCCGCCGCGGCGGCTGGGGGGGCGGGGGGGGGGGGCGCAGGCGGCGGCGGCAGCGGCTCTCTCCCGTCCGTTCGTCGTGGGACCTTCGCCTGCGGGGACGGCGCACGCTCCTGCCTGCGGCCCCTTCGTTCCCCACGGTGAGCCCTCTTTCCCAGCCCGCTCAGCACGCGTCCGCCGCCCCCATACCTTTCGGCACACGCACCCGCAGGTGTAGACTTCACCGCTCAGGCCACCAGCCCGCAGATAACCCGGGCTCGACTTCGATTTCTGCGGTGGCCCGAGGTCGAGCTGTCCGCCGGGAGGGGACGCGGAGGAGCTGGCACCTGGCATCCGGCGCCCGGCACTGCCCTGTGTGGCCCAGCCCCCTCATTCACCGACCTGCGGCCGTGACTCTGCCCCAGTGACGTGGGGCGGCCGAACTTTACATAACCTGCCTGGCGCCCCGCGGGGGCCCACACAGGGTACACCTGGGGCGCGGAGGCCCAGGCTGGGGAAGGGGCCCCAGTCACGGTGTTGACCCAAAAGGCACTGTGGCTGCAGCCCACCCCCACCATGCCTGTGACAGTGACCCAGTGTGTGTGGACACAGCCTGTTTGCTGTCCCAGGCCAGTATGGAGCTTGGGCCTGAGCTAGGGTCAGAAGCCTGGGCTTAGGTTGGGACTGGGGCTCAGAGGAGATGGTCGGAGCTCAAGTCGGGGTCCTTGTGGGTTGGGCGTCCCCACTACACCTGGAATGGGTCCAAAATGGGCACAGGAGGCCTGGGTTCTAGGCCTTGCTCTACTGTGACTTGTTCACTGACCTTGGACAAGCTTGTCCCTTGCTGGAAAATGGGATGGCACCAATCGCATTATCAAGTAGTGAGTGGGCTCAAGAGAAGCAGTGGACCTGGAGGGGACTGCAGGTTGCATAGAGCACCCTCCGCACCAGTCTCTAGGCTGACTTCACCCTCCTGCCTCCTCTCAGGAGCTGGGATTGCTGACAATGCAGCAAACCTGTTTGTGGATGGAGGGCTAGAATCACTCCCTGAACTGCTATGGGAGCACACAGCCAGAGGTCGTCCACACCACACCCATTTCTTACAGATAAGGAAGATGAGGCTCAGCAAGGAAAAGTGATAGACCCATAGCCACAGAACTTGGTGACTGCGGTCCAGGGACCGGGTAAGTGTGAATCTAGATCACGCCTCTAGTCTGGGGAGGAGGCTCCAGGGCTCCCCTCAGGAGTCAGGGGTAAGAGATCAGGGTTGGGTTGGGAATAAAGGGGGTAGGGAGCTTAGGCTGAAGAGTGGATTTGGCTGAGCTTCCCCAGTTTTCCTGCTCTCCTCTTGGACTTTATTTGGGTTGGATAGACCTGGCCTAGATGGGAGCAGAAGCTCTTTCAGCAGGGTGAAGAGGGATAGGGGTACTGTGGGGATAGAGGGAAGAGGGCATAGGCAGGGAGGGGCAGATTCCAGAGAGAAAGGAAGTTTCAGGGAGGAGGATCAGGTGCAGCTAGATCAAGGATGACAATGGTGGTTCTGGGTAGGAGAGAATGGAGCTGTGGGAGTGCCTATGGGTGACTGAAAGTTAGGTACCCGAGTAAGGGATAGAAGGACATCTTCTCTTCTCCCCCCATTTCCCAGATTGAGGGGGGTGGCCAAGACCCCCTGTTCGCCCCTCACTGTGGCCCCCTCCCGTAGGTGTGCCATTGTCCCAGGGCCCATGCCTTGAGGCCTGGAGGTGCAGGGCGGCCAGCATGCCGTGGGATGCACGGCGGCCAGCGGGTGGCGCAGAAGGTGGGCGAGAGCGCCCGGGAGCAGCGCACTCGCAGGCACAGAAGCAGTGTCGCAAGTCGTCGTTTGCCTTCTACCAGGCGGTGCGCGACTTGCTTCCGGTGTGGCTTCTGGAGGACATGCGCGCCAGCGAGGCCTTCCACTGGGATGAGAGAGGGCGCGCTGCTGCCTACTCTCCCTCCGAGGCGCTGCTCTACGCGCTGGTGCATGACCACCAGGCTTATGCGCACTACCTGCTGGCCACGTTTCCACGGCGTGCGCTGGCACCGCCTAGTGCTGGCTTCCGCTGCTGTGAGGCGCCGGGGCCACACGTGACGCTGGCTGTGCGTTACAACCGTGTGGGCATCCTGCGCCGCATCTTGCGCACCCTGCGCGACTTCCCTGCTGAAGAGCGTGCACGTGTGCTCGACAGGAGAGGATGTAGCCGAGTGGAGGGCGGTGGCACGTCGCTGCATGTGGCCTGCGAGCTGCTGCGCCCAGAGTGCCTCTTCCTGCTGCTCGGCCATGGTGCCTCACCTGGCCTGCGTGATGGTGGTGGTCTTACACCATTTGAGCTGCTGCTGCGCCAGCTGGGTCGTGATGCTGAGGCCACTGATGCTGATGCTGGAACAGCCAACGCTGCCTCTGCTGGGACCGCCACTGTGCCCGGGGAGCCGCGTCAGCGCCGCCTGCTGTTGCTCGACCTGCTGGCACTGTATACCCCCGTGGGCGCCGCTGGCTTGGCTCGCCGTGAACTGCTGGGCGACCGACTACGCTGGCAGCAGCTGCTGGGTGAAGACAAGTTCCAGTGGCTGGCGGGCCTGGCACCGCCCTCGCTCTTCGCACGCGCCATGCAGGTGCTGGTCACCGCCATCTCCCCGGTCCGCTTCCCCGAGGCCCTGGACGAGCTACCGCTGCCACCTTTCCTGCAGCCGTTGGACCTCACGGGCAAGGGCTAGACCCCGAGGGCAGCCTAGGCACTGGATTTTGGGACAAAACTATTTTTCAGAACATTGTATCTGGCACTTTACATATATTGATCTCTCTATAGCAGAATCTTTGCCTCCTCTGTTGCCCACATTGGGGGCTGGACCCGGGTGGTCAAGTGGGCTCCAAGCAGCAGGTTTTCTGGGTGCTGCTGGGCCAGTGCTCGGATCTCTGCCCAACTCTGGAAAGGGGTGAAAGTCAGCTTCCCGCCTTTGATGTAGTACCTCAGGGAAGGTGTCACAGAGGGGGTGACAGCTGAACTGTCAGGTCTGGCCTTGTGCAATCAGCAATTAGAGCCTTGTAAACTCCTGACAGGGGCTTAGACTTAATCCTCAGGACTAGGGAGGGCTGGGCAGGCCCACTCAGGTTGGGGAGAGACATGACCCAAGCTCCTTGTTTCTCTATCTTGATCCCAACCTGGCCACCAGCTCCTCTGGTATTTCTATGGCTCCCACTCATTCTGACACCCAGCCCACCCAGGCCTGGGTTTGTCTGTTACCAGCTTTTCTTCCTCCCACCCTCTACCAAGCTGACACCAGTTCCTGAGGCTCTTGCCTCTCACCTCTGCTTTTACAGTGGCTGCAGTCCTGGCCACTGGCTACTGGCTGCATGCCCCTCAGTGGGGTTAGATGTGCCTTCCAGGCCCATCCTTTCTCCACCTCCAGAGGTGGGCTGGGTGGGTTTCTTGGCTGCCCTATAGTGGGTGTTAGGTGGTGCCATGGGTGATCAGAGGGGTGGCTTATCAACCTGTGGGTCAGATTCTCAGCCTGGAGTGTTGTTTTCTTTTTCTTTTTTCTTTTTTTTGTTGCAGTTTTTGACCAGGGCTGGGTTTGAACCCTCTGCCTCTGGCATATGGGGCCAGGGCTCTACTTTGAGCCACAGGTGCTGCACTGGAGAGCTGTTTTCTTCAGGGAGGTTCTCAATATACTTTTTTTTTTGAGACAAAGTCTAATTGTGTTGCCCTCGGTAGAATGCTATGGCGTCATAGCTCACAGCAACCTCAAACTCTTGGGCTTAAGTGATTCTTTTGCCTCAGCCTCCCGAATAGCTGGGACTTCAGACACTTGCCACAATGCCTATCTATATTTTTGGTTGCAGTTCTCATTGTTGTTTAGCAGGCCCAGGCTGGGCTTGAACCCACCAGCTTTGGTGTGTGTGGCCAGTGCCCTACTCACTGAGCTATGGGTGCTGAGCCAATATAGAGACTTATTAACGAACACCCTATGATCATTCAGGACACAGGCTTGGCTGAGAAACTGGGTCCATGTCCTGAGGAGCCTTGGGACTGGGGAGGACAGCCAGACTGTGCTGCTTGGGAATTCTGCTGGGTGGTGAAATTTAACCTGCATCAGCATGGGTCGGAGGGCTGTGAAGTCCTGCCAAAATTAGAGGGGTAAAGGTCTGCTGATGAAAAGTGACCAGTCTTAGCTGGGTGTGGTGGTTGTGGTAGGTGCCTACAGGCTTAGGTACCTGGAAGACTGACATGGGAGGATCACTTTAGTGCAGGAGTTGGAGGCTTCGTGAGCTGTAATTGTGCCACTGCATTCAAGCCTGGGCAATAGGGCAAGGCCCTGTCTCAAACGTGACTAGCTGGGTGCAGTGGCTCACAAACCTGTAATCATAGTTTCTGGGAGACCAAGACAGATAGATTGCTAGAGGTCAGGCGTTCAAGACCAGCCTGAGCAAGAGCCAGACCCCGTCTATAAAAACTAGCTGGACATTATGGTGGGTGCCTATAGTCTCAGCTACTTGGGAGGCAAGACAAGAGGATTTCTTGAGCTCAGGGGTTGGAGGTTGCTATGAACCATGATGCCATGGCACTCTACCAAGGAAAACATAGTGATACTATTGTCTCAAAAAACAAAATCAGTAGAATGACTAGCCTGGCTGGGTGTCACCTCCTGCCCACCATGTCCTTAATGCCCCTGAGGGGTGGAAGGGTCCCGGGTGCTAGGCCACACAAGAGGGTGAGGAAGCGGCCTGGATCTACCATCTTCTTTCAGGGTGACCTTGGACAACCCTGTGCCCTGGGCCTTACAGTTTTTCCAATAGAGTTTTTCCTTTCAAGAGGTTTTGGATCATCTTTTTGCATCCTACTTGCCCTGAAAAGGGTGTGACTCCCATTATTTGGAAGTGTAGGGCAGGAGGGAGGGGAGCGGGGATGGAGGATGATCAGCCTTCTGACTGAATGTAGACTCCAGGCCAGAGTGAGGGCTCCCTTCTGCTCTGTGTCCTTGGCCTGTTAAATAGTCTCTCTGAACCTTTGTACTTGGGGCAGTGGACACTAACATCTTTATAAGCCCCAACCTCGGGCATCATAGGCACCTATTCCTTTAGTCTAGAAGATCTCAGGTCCTCATATCAGGTATGTCATGGAGATGAGGGGTTGATTTCCTTTCTTTGGAGGAAATGAAAGTAGAGATTGGAGTGACCCAGGGACAGGCAGTGGTTGCTGGGGGAGCATTGGGGAGCCTGTAGGGCCCTGATACCTCAGCAGTTTTAGTCTAGAAAGCCTGGCCACCTAGTGGGGAGGGCTTAGTATGCAGACTTACCACATCTCTCCAGGGCTCGGCCCCCTCCACTGCCCCTCTAGATCTACAATTGTCCCTTGGATAACACCTTTGTTGAACCCCCTGGACTAGGGAGTGGTCCAGGAGCTGCCTGGCCAGGCATGCCTCAGAAGGGACCCCCACAGAGCCCATTGTCAGGTGACCAGAAAGACACCTGGCCTGGTCCTAGCGTGCAGGGTGGGGACTGCTGGAGGAATTGGGGGCAATACAGTATAAGGGCAGCCTGGGCCTTTGGCCTCTAACATCACCAGTTTGAGGTGGGTGGGATGGAGTGGGGAGGGCAGGGAGGTGGGAAGAAGCAGAGGCCCAGCTTGGGGAGAGGTGAGCCAGCATCCCACAGCCCTACAGCAGCAGAGCAATGTGCAGTGGAACTGCATCTCATTGGGACACTTGTCTCAGTCATCCCACTACCACCATTGGTGGGAACAGAGGATCTAGAGAAAGGTGCAGGGCAGATAAGGAGAGCCTTGGGTTATCTGGTGGCTGCTATTGGTCAGAGGGAGGAAAGGAGGCAGGGCAGGTCTCAGCATTAGCCTTATCAGTCCCCTACGCTCTCTGGCCCCAGTCATCATTATCATTCTGGCCATGAGGTTGTAGGACAGAGGCCAGAACCAGTAACTCTTGGCACACAGCAACTTAACTCTCGAGGTATTGACAGGTGACCTTGACGGCTTCTCAAAGGCAACCACTCTACCCAGAACAAGACTCATTTTTCTCTGGAGCAAAGCATATTGGTTCATTTGGTTCATTAATTCCACCAGTTTCTAAGAAAAACCTGGCTGTGGCCAGTTCTGCCCCTTTCCTTACACCCACCTGGGTGCCCAGTGTTCCTAAGGGTCCTGAGCCCTAACCCCAGTTAAGAGTTCAGGGGCCAGGGCCGGGTGTGGTGGCTCACACCTGTAATCCTAGCACTCTGGGAGGCTGAGGTGGGTGGATTGCTTGAACTCAGGAGTTTCAGACCAGCCTAAGTAAGAGCGAGACCCTGTCTAAAAATAGCCAGGAGTTGTGGTGGGCCTGTAGTCCCAGCTACTTGTGAAGCTAAGGCAAGAGAATTACTTCAGCCCAAGAGTCTGAGGTTGCTGTGAAATGCGATGCCATAGTACTCAACCAAGAGTGATGAAGTGAGATTCTGCTTAAAAAAAAAAAAATTCAGGGGCCAGAATCTCTGGAACCCAGGTACCTGTTAGGAGAGTTAAGGTTGAGCCATGCTCAGGCTCACCCAGAGCCACCACTGAGAAACTGTCCTCACTTCCCCAAGGTCTTGTGCTAAAACCTGAAAGGGACCTGGTAGGACAGTCTGCTGTCAGGTGGCCTGGGCAAAGTGGCCATGATGCACGGACAGAGACCTGTCCCTTCCTTTACTGTTGGTGACATGACCCTGCTTGATCTGCTTCTGCCTGGGGCTAGCTGTACTTGCTTTGCATGCCACCTTCATGTGTGGTTTTCCTACTGTGACTTTTCTTTTTCCGATTTCTTAATCAAGTTGAAAATACTGTATTAAGAGCAGTTTCCAGTTACTTCAAATACTGTTAAGATCAAGATGTTTCCTGGAAGTCAGGAAAACAAGCTTAGTCACAGAAGGCCACTCCAATAGAATTGAGCTTTCCTTTATTCAAGGGAAGTAATTGTAATGGAACCCTGCCCTTGGCAGTGCTTGGTTCTGCCCTGCTATTTTTAAAATTCAGGTATAACATATATGTGATAAAATGCACAGACTTTAAGTGTGTACTCTGACGACTTGTGACAAAGTCTACACATGGATGACCACCACCCTAATCAAGATAGAGGTGAAGGCGGAGCTCTATTTTCTATTGTATTATCTTTTTCTCAAAGACAGTTTCCTTTCCCTTTGTCACCTGGCGAGAGTGCAGTTGCATCTCCATAGCTCACAGCAACCTCAAACTCCTGGGTTCAAGTGATCCTCCTGCCTCGGCCTCCCAAGTAGCTGGGACTACCAGTGCCTGCCACACCACCAGGCTAGTTTTTCTGTTTTTAGTAGAGCAGGATCTTGCTCTTGTTCAAGCTGGTCTCAAACTCCTGAGCTCAAGTGATTCTCATGCCTTAGCTTCCCAGAGTGTTAGGATTATAGGTGTGAGCTACCATGCCCAGCTTCTATTTCCTATTTTAAAATAATTTCCTTGTGTTTGTAAACTTCATGCTCACTGCAGAATACTTGGATTATGCAGAGAAGTCTAGGGCAAGGTGTGGTAGGGCCCTGTTGTGGAACATTGACCTGCACCCTCTCCCTGTGTAGCTTCTGGAGGCAGAACCCTAAATGCTCATGAACAAAGGGGCTGACTAACTTTCTCATCATATAACCACTGCTAGCATTTTGGCATAACTGTTTTATAGATTTTTCTGTGCACATTTTTTCCTATGCATATTTTTACATATGTGAAATTAGATCACTTATAGTCCTATTTTTAACCTTTTATCCTTAAACATTTCTCTATATTGTAAAACACTTCTGTAAATATGATTTTTAAGAAGTCTTTAGTG